TTTCGTTAAATAACTTATATTTAATATAACGCGTTTCAAGGTTACAAGTCAGGTTATAACTACACTACATACACTTCAAGCGAGCAGTATGGCGGAATGTACAATGGAGCAGGCGATTATAGTAGTAATATTGGTAGTGGTGGTGGTAGTGGCGGCTTCATAAAATCTGAAGAGAGTTCTAATACCAAAAGTTCACAGGTATATAAATATATAAGAAGTTTAATATAACCAAAAATATGAATATTTTATTCACGTTGTTTACACGTAATTAGGGAAGCGACCGTCGAAACAATAACCTTAGATCAGTGACTATCAAACAGCTACACAATGCAACACCAATTAATGATTCTACTATGTCATTAGATGGACTCGAACTTCGTGTTGTAAGTATTAAGTAGATAACATGCATCATTCGTTAGTGTGACATGAAGATTTCCCGTGAAATATCTTTTTATATCAACTAATTAGGAAACCGTGTATAAAATTAATAATTTTTCATTTTATATTTTAGATTAAAATTGTTGGTGTTATTATACATAAAACACCTCGTCCCCAAGGAATTGATTATATGGTGGATGATGGTACTGGATTAATTGATGTAAAAGTATGGCATGATGCTAGCGATGAAACTAGTGTTAACAAAAAAATTGATATTGCGTAAGGAAAAATATAGTTAAAATTTTAAATTTAATCAATATTATTTGGACTAATTAAGCTTTTTTATTGTAGTATAAATACCTATGCCAAATTTTTTGGAAATTATAGAGTGTTTAGCTCTAAAAAGCATTTTGCAGCACATATTGTTCGGCCAATCGAAGACCATAATGAAATCAGTTATCACATAGCTGATGTCATTTATTCACATTTATACTTGAAAAAAGGATTAAATAATTCATCGGTAATTAACTGTAACTCATTATTATAATTCATACCTTTTAGACGTTTATTTATAATTAGTCAATTATATTTTATAGGTATCAAGTAGTTTTAATAACGAATCCCTAACAAAAAGTTCTAATGAAGTAGGTAATCATGATTCCTCTACGCCATTAAATAAAGACATCTTTGATCTCATAAGCAAGCAAAATAACACTCCAATGGGAGCTGATGTTAGTGAAATTGCACAAAAACTTGCATTCCAATATGGCTCCGATCAGGCTGTTAGGTAAGTTTGCAAGTTATATATAACAAATCACGTTTTAACGTATCCCTAATAACAGGTTATCATTTAATAGGTTTGCTATAGAAGATATGATTGGAGATGGTCGACTTTATGTTACGAGTGATGATAATCATGTAAAAACAACGGGGTGCTAATTAAATTGTATGATTAAATAGGTAAATATATTAGGTGTTTTACATGGTTTTATAGTACTCAATTAAATAAGTTTTAAGAAACGGTGGATTGTTTCTTTTTTTTTGGTTGGGTTTATTTTTCTTTTTCAATCCAATGCATGTATTTAGTAGATAATAAACTTTGTTTTATATCGCTTACCTCTAAAGAATTTTCGTGAACAAATAAAAAGCACACCATAGATTCTTCTCGTTTTTGAAAATGGACTTGATTTCACAAACTATCGACTCCATAATTCTACACATGTAATAATCAACTATGGGAATATTTCCAGTAAAATCAAATCATAAGGTATAATAAATCATATGGATACTTTGCAGGGAGGAAACTACCAAAAAATCTTTTTTTGAGTTAAGTTAAATCTGATTTATTTTTATTAAAAAAATAATATTTAGTTTATCCTTGATTGACACATTTATGTGATTATGCAAATAAATTATGCCTATTAGACGATCAACATATAAATGGATTACTTTGCAATATTAATAGTAATATTACTACAATTAATAAATTTAAGCTGACTATTATAAATAATTTTTATGTTTTAAAGGCATCATATTTGGATTTCAAAAAGTGGTTCCTTTTCTATTTCAGATGATATATTAATTTCTTTTTTAGATATTTTGTTAGAAATTACTTTTTGCATTAGTATTTTCTTTTATGTTAAATTCTTTCATATTAAATTCGTTTATTAGAATTTTCCGTCATGTTTTTATAAAATAAAATATATAAAATTAATTAAATATTTAAACAAAAATACCTTAGATCAGAGCATAAAATAGTACTATAAAAAAATGGAGATTTCCAATTGTTTTTGAAATATCTGATAAATTTTTTTAGAATTGAATATTTTTCTGAATATATTAAGACAGAAATTTATTATTAAATCTGCAATAAATTGATTATCATTTATAATCTATCAAAAAAAAAAAAAAAACTTCTTCTTTTGATAATTTTAAAAATGTTAATTTTATAATATTATCCTAAAATTTCTGAATCTACTGATATTAATGAAAGTAGTTCTAAAGAAAAAGAATTTAATAATAATGTTAAATCTGTTAAATCTGTTAAATCTACTGAATCTATGAATAAACCTCAGCATATTCATAAATATATATAGTCTGATGCAAAAATGTAGATATACCAATATATTTATAGTAAAAATAAAATTTTAAATTTAATATAAATATTTAAATATTTTTAACTATAATATAGGTTTCAAAAATTATTTTTATTATAAAATTTATTAAAATATAAAATTTCTATAAAAATTTTATAATTGTTGATTTCTTTAATTTCAGAATCTACATAATCACTTTCAACCAATAATATATTATTACTTGATTCTTTATATTCTATGACTTTGTCAAGTGCTCTTTTCCAAAATTCAACAATAACTTTAGTAATAACCTTTTCATTAGAAGCATATAACAATTTATCTCTAATAGCTAAAGATTTGAGTGAATACTGAACCTAACAACTTCATCTTTAATAGTTGACCAAACTCCTTTAATTAGTTAGAGTTCACAATGATAAGATGAGATATAACACAAATTGTGACTATATTTTCTAGCTATGTTAACATATTTAAAAGGTATATTTGTTTTATTTTATTTTACTACTCACATAATTCTGCTTTGGTAGAATTTTCTAAATTATTAATACTAACTGAAGTTAACCAAGAAATTAATGCATCCTTTTTTGAGTTTGACATTTAATTTAATATTTGTGATACTAAATACTATCCATATAAATATTCACTAGCCCATAGTATTCCTTAATATTAGCACAGAGTTTATTAAATAGATTCTCAAAGATTTCAGCTGTAAAATTACCATGATAGTCAACATGATCTACTGCAAGTTAAAATTTTGAATAACTTCAGAAACATTATAATAAAAACTTGATGAAAACGGCTATAAATTATTAAAATAATAGTTACTTTGTATACTACATATATTAGAATATTATTATAGTTATAGTAAATATTAAAATATAATGTATAAATCACTTATAAACGTTATCTTTTATAACTATTATTTACAACATTGATTTAAAAACTTACAAAGAAAAATAAAGTTCTGACTAGGTTAGAATTTTTTTTAGATGAATTATAT